TTTATTGATTGATCGATTCATTTATTGATTTTTTTTTTCAAGAATTTATATTTCTTCTACTATAATGTATCATATTGTTAATCATGTCCTCTCCAGTGACACGGTTTCACAGTTTAATTGTTGAGCTCAGCAAGCTGTTTGTTTAATGGTGGCTCACAAGGGATATAGATCAACTTAGGCTGGGGGTTATAATACACTTCATTCACAATATCTGACAGCCTATCCTACAGGTCTGTTTTCACTTAGGATGAAACTTCAATTAATAAAATTTTATACAATCCAGAACTTATAAATTTATATTATTAATTTTATATTGCCTACAGTTTTATAACCAGGTGTACTAGGTGTACTTGGCTTTTTGTAAAATTTTACCATGACACTTTTTAGAACCTTTTCACAATTTTTACATTTTAACACTAATTTTACATATTTTACAGGAGGTGTATTCCACTATAATAAATTTTTACATTTTAAAGCAAAATTTATATACTTCTATGTGATAGATTTTATTGTATAATACGCTTTTAATCATTGTATTGTTTTATTGTATGGTCGTTTCCTTTGTTTTTCGTCGCAAGTAAGTCAATTTCAAATTTGTGTTTTTAATATGAGTTTCACAATAAAAAAATGTATGTATTAAAATAGTGATGATTATATAATTTACAATGTGATTACTGTAAAGTAATTGCATCAGTACACTTGTTCTATTAAAATATAATTGTTAATCAGGTTTTTATTAAAATTTTAGATAAATACAATTATTTAGTAAGAAGAATTTCTAAAACTTAAGTGGTGATATTAATATTATTCACCATATACAATAATAATTAGTCGTTTGGCCATGTGGTAAGGCAGGTACGCTGCTAAGTTCAGCCTTAACATTGGCACTAGTTTGAGTTGCTCCTTATCCAGGATTTGTTTGGTAAAACCATAGATGATAGAACCAAGTTTTCTTGGATATGGACTATAAATGGAGGCAGTGTACACTTCCACCTTGCGTGCACTTCAAAAGACTCATTACATCTTTTGGAAGAGACAGGGGGTTACTCGGATGCTTTGGTTCATTTTAGCTTCTGTTGTGGAATAATATGAAGATGAAGCTATGATGGCTAAGTACATTCCTGTTTTCACGGACCAAGCCCATATGCCATTCACCAAAATAACACTGCATATTATTCTCACTACAGTTCCTTTACCTTAACTTGAAAAAATGAAAAATAAAATTTTGTTTTCTTTACAGAATAGTTTTGCCAAAAACACCCAGACAGAGGAGAAAATAAAAATAAAATTTTATTGGTGAATGGGAATCAATGGTTAATTACCACTGTATTAGGCAGAAATACATCTTATTTTTTAAGGTTTCCAGGCAGCGACAGGCGTAATAAAAATAAAGAAAAAATTTTCATTTTTCCGTGGCAGCAGGTGTGCTAATTGGCCAAAAATTAAATTTTATTTTTATTCAAAATCATCAATATTGGCAGGTGGTGGTTCGCTAAACAAGTAATATAGTGACAAAAATAATTTCTACATTGATTGATTTTATACAAGAATATATTAATATAGATACAGGATACTGATAATACTGTACTAATTAATAGCAAAATACACAGATACCTGTAGAACCATTTATATCATATTCTAATTCAAAATAAAAAATATGTACTGTAATCCGGTGTTTTATTACTATTCATTAGAAATTGCTAATGGTGTCCTGGAACAAAGGTTGGCAAAGTGCGGCCCGCCAGCGATTTTTTTGCACCGCGAAAATGAATTAAAAACCCTATGTGTGCAGCCCGCCAAGCAACATTGGCCAGAAAATACCTTGTTTTTTATCGCCCGAAATAAAACTGAGAATAAATTGGTGTGAAAACAGTTCTTGGAGGTTTTTGGAAGCACAGTGGAAACAACAAAGTTTGGGTGCAGCCCTCGGTGTTGAATCAAAAATTCACTTTGGCCCTCCGACCGATTTTTATGCCCACCCCTGTCCTAGAACATAGCTGATAATATATGCCTTCATGTTCCATATTAATAAATTAATGATGTTAACTTTAAGGTTAATTTATATTGTTAAGGTTGCATTTAAGGTTAATTTCTTTGCCTTTCTATGGATGATATGGATGATTCATGTTTGATATGTACACATAATATAAACTAATCTTGTCATAATCTTCACCTAATTATACTTACTTTCAAAATAAATTACTAAGTATTCATGTGATATGTAGATTTTTTTTTCTAGGACATGAAATGGATGAGAATGCATAATGGATCATTAAAAATAAAAGTATTTAAATATAATAATATTTTCTAATTTGGTAATTATGAAAATGAAAAATGAATTGCTCTTAAAAGGAAAATAAAAGGTTTACGCCTTTTTATTAATAATAAGTACAAATTCAAATATGGTTTTATTATAATCCCCTGCCATAGATGTTATCTTCACAAAAAATGATAGCCTATTGATAGGAAACTATTATTAAATTTTTTTGTAAGTAAAAGCTAAATGTCTGGAAAATCCCCCAAAATTGAATTGAAATGTTCAATTACTCACTCAAAAAAGGAACAAATAGGTTATCTTTTTTCAACTAGCCACCTACATATTGAAATAATTCAGTTTTTTGCTCAATTATAAACATTGATGCTTTGTTAATTACTGTACTAGTCAACTACAGTATAGGGTTTCTAATGCAAAGAATATACGGTGGTTTACTTTATGCGTAAGACCAAAGAGTATAGAGTGTATAATTTCGAAACGCAGCATGCATTCGATACGAATCTATTCTATTGAAGTACATGCTCCTTCGTGGCAGTACTTTTTAACGTTCTATTGCCTGCATACAAAATAAGGGCAGTCGGCTCTCTTGTAGTTCTATACTCTTTGGTAGGATCTACTGTAATAATTGGTCAGAATTTTCTGGTGCTAATTTGCAATTGAAAGCCAACAACATAATAAGCTTTGTTTCCATACAATCGCTACATGGCCTAGCAGACAGCTTTCGGCGATGCTGATTGGTCGATCGAATCAGGGATTCTTCCCGATTGGGTCAGGGACTGTTACTCAGTACAATGATTGCACTGAAAACACTGAAGCGACAGCGTAGCTATTTCAACGAACCAGGCTTTAAAGATATATTTTCTCCTGACAAAAGATCATTAAAAAATAATTTTGAAATTAACTTGCTCATTTTGCACTAACATATAAATTATTGACTTGAGCATAGAAATTATTGAAGTTAACAAATGTGTACTCTGATTTTTATACTGGATAATGATAATAAAAATAATAAAACTCTTCCAGTGACTGCAAGTTTTTTTTTATCATGTTTTGCTGTAGAATTATGGTAAACATTTTTTAAATACACACACTTCGATGTCCAAGTTGATACCGTAATTGTTATGTTACTTCAAAATGAGCAAGTTAATTTCAAAAATGATTTTTATGATTTTATTTTGCATAGGACAAAATACATCTTTAATGCAAACAATTTTTAAATATTGAATTTAATTGTTCCATTTATTGGCTCAACACAAACAGGCCTCAAGGCCAAAAATTAACACTTTCAAACCTTGCGAAATCAAATTGTCAGTCAATATGGTATTTTTTCAGTTAACTGAAAATTACATTCAAACTGTAAATACATATATTTCAATTGATGATGATAGTGACCTGGTTAACTGAGCAAGTATTGCCGTTAGAAGGAATATCACCATTTTTATTGCTTGACATTACTACACAAAAGTGTTTTCCAATTTCCAGGGGTGTAGTAACACTGCCTTTGGCTAATTCCCAAAATCATTTCAGCACAGAATATGCGAAGAATGATTGTTCAACTACGGTCCAACTAACTTGAGTTTTTAAGTGTTTTTTTCCCTACAAGTTTACAACTGTGTCAACATTTCGGGTCTTTGAGGGGAAACCCGAGCGATAAAAAAGAACCAAAATTGAAACAAACATTAATCAACCATTTCACTTGTCAATGAATTAATTTGTAAATTTTGATGTTTGGCACATATTATGGCAAACATAAGATGGTATCGGCCGTCTTTAAATCTCTTATAATACGCTTGTTCAACATATTTTACGGATATTTTCACTTTGAATTTGGAGAATATCGATGTAATTAGTAACGAGTCTTGGTTAGAGGAAGAATAATTGGCTAGGGAATTCCCTTAATTCCTTCTACTTATGAATCACATACATGGATTTCTGTTCCATTGGATTCTTTCCACTTTTTGTCAATCAAAATTATATAAAACTTGATTTGACATCAGAAAGGAATTCTTGTAAAAAAACAAAAGAATTCAATTTCACTTGGCTGACCAGGATTTAATTAAGAATATGGGCTAAAATATTTCTGATAAAAATTATTATTTCTTTAATTTACAGTATACTATATTGCATTGATAGTATTAATATTATTATTCTTAATTTAAAGCAACTTGAAACAGTTTTTCTTTTCCTGGCCTTCGCACAGTGGATATGTTGATTTTACCATGAAATTTCAAACATGCTAGTATTAACTACACCAGACTCCAATATCCAACAGATCACCGTATTTACGTTTCCATTATGCAGCTGGGCGGTAAGCCTTTGAAGTCCCTTGGCTCTTTCCTGCCGCCGGCAATATCGTCAAATTCCGACTCTACCATTCTGCAAAACGCATCACCTACTGAATTTTTGGAGCTGGTCCTCCACAAATCTGTCGGCTAACTACTTTGAGATGGATCCTGAAGGTCTTGTTAGTGTTATAACCGAGCTCAATTCCTTGTCTGTCTTTGTTAGAGATTTATTGTCGAGCTTTTGAATTCGATTCGCTGGAGGGTGTCGACCGAGAACTGTCAATCAATTGCCTCAATGAGAATGAAATATGTCACTTCATCACGCGTCAATAACGCTTGATGTACTCAACGAAGTGCCGCGCCTCGCCCAAGTACAAATTATCTCGCATAAAATTCATCGCAAAAGATAGGTTTTTAGAAAAGGAACAGACGATACTTACTCTTCAATCGCTTCGGTGTTTGCTGCTTCCTTCGAGGCATTGTTTATTTATTGTCTGCCTCTCACTTCACCACGGAAACGAAATATTTCCGAACCATCTCTCCGAGAAGATGTTTTCATTCTGTTGTCCCATACTTCTGTAAACAGCACACACTGCGGTCGTAATATTCAGAATGTAGTCTTTCGGCACAGTCGCTAATTAAAAAGTATGGTCATCATTCGTTAGGGGGCTCACTTCGTAATCTGGGACAGCCAATACTAATAGCATTATAGTAAAGTGTATTTACACTTAAAGCGATTTAGTTCTAATAGAGGGTGCTAACTCGATACTTACTCGACATCCTGTTTCCCGTCCAATAGATTGTGAGTAAGACTTTGATTTCACAGAGAACAACTTCTTTAGGGACGCTCTCTAATAACATTTGTTGGTGAATGGACGTTGTGAAATACAAAACTTATGTCCCCTCCCCAATTAGCAAATATGATGCATAACCCAGTTTAGACTGTTTTCCCTCAATTTTATTGGGCAAAATTAAATGAAGGCGGACTGTTTTTCATGCAAGCATCATAATAGTTCACATGTAGATTTTATTCTTTGCGTTAGTACATAACTATTAATATATAATATATTGAACTCACGTTAAAATATTAGATCATTTTTATCAGCATGATCATGAACGTCATCATCATCGTCGTCGTTGTCATCTTCATCATTATTATCATGATAATTATTAGGCCTATTATTGTCAATAATAATAATCATCATCATTATCATTATTGATGATGATCAGCTCCGGCTTGATGGCCCACCCTCACAAAATATTCTTGAAATAAATATATTATTATTATTATTATTATTATTATTATTATTATTATTATTATTATTATTATTATTAGATGCCTATTATTATTCCTAATTTTTCTTTATTATATTTACTTTTCAAAATAATTGCAATAGTATGTAAACAAATATTATTTATGATTGAAACTGTCAGTTAAGGTCAGCAAAATTACTTGGTTTTTCAAACAGAAAGTATAATCATATTGATGTCTAAGCCTACGTAGCCTACGCCTACGTTAGACCATCGACATGAAATCAAGTTGATGGATATGCAATAACAGAAAATCACATTTCAGTATCCCCACGTGACCCAAAATATGGAATGGAAATAAGATACCTTTAAAGAGTCACTAAAAATTATGTCATTGTAAAAATCGTATGAATTTATAATAATGCGTTCCAACGTTGAGGGAGTAAACATGAAATAAGATACACTCGCATTGAACAATATCATAATCATTAATAACGATAATAATGTTACAAAATTAATATTAGAATTGTATTCATTATACACGGATTTATATTTGTTCAACAGTTTGGATAAGATTATTTTGTTTTCTTGAGTAAATCCTATGCTTTACTCCAACAATAAAATACCGCTTCCAGTGTCATAATTGTAGAAACATTAAAGATAATGAACTTAAGAATGTTTTCCGACTGTAATTCTGTTGGTACTTATGTAGCGAGTTTATCTCAAAATATACAGTATTTATAAGATAGTTTTAGGCCTATTAAACCGATACATTATTATCATCGATGAACTGCTTAGAATAATAGAGGAAGCTTTTAAGTAAATGTAATGGAAACTATTACATATAATTAGTTAGTATATATTAGTATATATATATATATATATATATATATATATATATACATATATATATTTACACCGATAGAATATCTCATTGTCCGAATTTAGGGTTGAAGTTTTTTATATCTTTCTACACCGGTCCAAAAGCTGTCTCTTATACACATCTAGATGTGTATAAGAGACAGGCGATCTGTCATGCTATTCCTTATAGTCTCTTCCCTTATCAATCAATTAGATATCGATAATTAACGGGCAAGACATTCGATGATGTATCATTTGTCAGAGAATGACTCAATCGTCATCCAAGTCCAGTTTAACTGCTGTAAAACTTGTTCTACCGATGTCTTTCATATTTTTGTTGGCCTAGTCGCCTATACCCCTGTCTCTTATACACATCTAGATGTGTATAAGAGACAGATATATACTATATATATATATATATATTTAAAAACAATAACAATATATATATATGTATTTATATGCATATATATATATTTATATATTTTATTTACGTGTGTGTGTGTGGGTGTGTAAATATGCAGAGAAAAAAGAATGAAATACTGGTGAGCAAATAGACAATCAGCAGTTACATTCATTCTTTAAAATAATAACATATTTTATGAAAATATGTTAGAATTTAAAAAAACAATAAACAAGTAATATTACGAAAAGGGGTAATAACCCAGAAATAAAGATCAACGTGAACATGCCTTTTACTAAAACACAGCTTCACAGACGGAGAAAGCGTTATTTTATATTTATTTGTTAATTACATGTTAAAAGTTGGCTAAGTATCATGTACAAAATTATAAGCCTGTTATGTTTTCAGTCGGGTTACGGGAATAGCCCAATGCGCATGCCGCATAAGGTACAAGAACATACAACTCAAAACAATCGGCGCTCATGATCTATGCACTGTATAACGACTCGTTTCTCGTCATTAATAAATTAATTAATTAAATAATTATGATCCACCATACCTCATTATGACGGACTCATGCGCTGAGTAAGACATTAGGTAGCTAACAGATAGTAGTTAGAAAAGTACAGAAAAGGTTAAAATCAGGTATGCTAAATTTAACATCAAAATCTTCGAAATTGCGAGTTTATAAACATACATCCATTATTAATCAGAAAAAAAGGTATTTCAATTTTTTTAAAATATTTATTAATATGCATTATTTTACATAACGAATACGTTTTTGTAGGATACGAAACGAATACTGACGCGGCCGAGGCCTGCATTGCAATGGGATAAAATATACGAGAATAATGGCTAATGCAAGCCTAAGACAATTTTATGATTTAAAAAAATCAATCTCTGGGCGGAAAATCACTTTGATGTGTAAATCCACTTTAATTTATCATTTGTAATTCCAGTGATGCCGCCACATTTGATTAAAGGACATTATCCGTAACTTAATTTTGTCTATCACGCATTAAACATGCCTACGTGTCTCGACTCGATAAACTTTTATGTTGAACTTGCAAAGCCTATATATTAGCTATATGCATAAACCAGTTTATTTCTGTAGTTAAAACAATCGTCGTCTCGGCGAACAAACATTGCTTGTAAACGGTCAGGGCAAAGTACTTTAAACATCAGGCCTAATATACTGTACTAATGTAACTATTTTTATAACTATTCCTTCATTTTGGCATAATCTATTATGAATGGTTCTGACTGCTTTCGCGCCCACAATGCATTTTAAATCCCATAATTACATCAGGATAGGATGCGCAATTACTTGGACGTCACCTGTTCGAGTCTGCCTGCTCTTGAATGTCTACAGTATTTGTTATATTAATCCATTTGCTTTCGCACCCAGAATCTATTTCAAACACGCTAGTTGCAGGATGAATGCAATTTACCTGAACGTTGCCAAAGATGTTACCTAGGGGGTAGGATAGGAAGAATCGGAATTTCAAATTAAGTGATTAGTTATGAAATTTGAAAGAAAAACAGACTGCACACACTCGTCTTATAACTAGTGCCACGTTTGGCCCAACCATGTTTTGAATGTCTAGTAAGTGTGTTTTTAAATAATTATCGTTTTTCTTCTAACAGTTAATGTGAATTAAACCTAATTATAATTTTAAAAAAAATTATTATTGCACGGTAGTGGAAGATGCGAGATGTTTATGAACTCGCTCACAGTATGATAAATCGCATTTCTCATACGGTAGGGTGGGAAGAGGTGAAAGAGGAGCATTTTAGCAATAATATACACATTATAAAAGTCAAGGAAATTCACGTGAACCAGACGATTCTTGTGCAATTTGTTTTTCATCAATGCGTAGTGAGCACAACCTTTAACCTTTCATTTTGAAAATAACATTTAAAGGACGATTATTCAATGTTAGCTCACTGCACTGTAATTACCATTCTGAAAGTCCTGATTTGTTCCATTTCCAGAACAACATGTACTATTGGATATATAATATTATCAGTGAATACTGGATCATGGTGATATACCATGGGAGGATATACAGGGACTGCAAAGATCTTTGAGGAAGGACTGTACGTTCTGTGCTTGAGGGCGCTATTCTACATACGATGTTGTAAGACTATAATTAATCTGCGACGGTTCGTACATTTTTTAAAACACACCATTATCGGAAGACAAGGGTTCATTATCGTCCAAAAGTCTTCATTGTGATATTCGGCGAAGGGTAGGGTCTACCAGGGAGTTGTTATGGGTCTACCAACTTGCTCCCTGATAAGACACAGAACAGATATTAGCATAGTACAGTAACCCAAGTTTATAAAGAATCAGACTTAACTTCAAGGATGGAAATTGTCATCACTTTTTGTCTTCTTGCTGCTTCTTAGCATTTAATCTGAAAGCTAACTTCTCCCTGATTAAATGGGCCTTTCTGGCGGAGATTCAATCAAAACAAATGACCAGTCAGAACAAGGCCTGGGATACGCGCTTGTCCCCGAAGAACACGTGCTGCATCATCCGCTCTGGCTGTTTACTTACGTTTACTTTGTAGCTGTTACTTATCAAGTTTGTATCTATTTTGATTTTCTTAGAAACAACATACAGTACATGTCAGAAAACTCAGACATCAGTGAAAAATAATATACATTTTTAATGTTCTTACAATAAAAAAGCTCAAACAATAAATTTGATTTGTCAATACATTATCACACAGTCGAACCCCTCATCTGGACACCTCTATTAAAGGGACACCCCTATCAAAGGGGCACCCTATTAAGGGACACCCCTATTAAAAGTACATCCTATAAAAGCCCAACCTCTCCAGTGATCCTGAAGTTGTCCCCTTAATAGAAGTTTTAATGTACTAACGTCTTCATGGTAAAGGCATATTTCATTTGAAGAAAAGCAATATTAAATGATTGGAGTGAATAGGGAGTTTCATGAAGTTAGTGGTGCTTGCTCCAGATGATGATCATGGGTTCAAATCCAAGTACATGATTCCTCTGACGATTATTACAAACTATTGTACCTCTCTATCCTTCATCTTTTAAATCAAATAGCACCAAAACACTAGCGGTGTGCCAATCTATCGATTATTTATTACTTCCTCGCGTAATTTTTAGCTTATACAGAACCGACATGTCAATATACTGTAATTATTAACTTCCATGTTTTGTAGATCAATACAACAAAGACATTTTCTTGATTTAGTGATCATATTTACTACTGTACAGTATAAGGTACCACACATTGCACTCGATGGCAGAATACTGTACTTCAGCAGCCCATAGCCATGTCAAACAAGACATCTACTGATACAAGGAACCCATTAACCACCAGACAAAGTTCTTTTCATGTTGCTTTTACTGGTTTGAATATACCCATTTCTTTACGAATTTTCAACAAGTCAAACTTGTGGACATCTGGAGATGCCCTGTCTGGTGATAGCCCCCCACGTCCCCCTCTTCCTTTAACAGGTTTCTGTTCTTTAAGCCATGTTTCATATGATTTTTCCTTCTCGACTGTTGCTCTATACTCGTCTTCCTCCTTTTCTTTTTGAGCTTCACGAATCCGTCTCTTTCTTTCTTTTTCTTGCTGTTCCTTTTTCTGTTTTGAGGCAAGCCAGGCATCAAAGGAACCTGATTTACTTGATGCTGCTAGTTTTTTCGATCTTACACCTGCCATTCTATACAAGAAACAAGCAATATTATAAGTAAAAGATATATACATAATATCATGACTACTGTGTAGATTTTGAGTATGACGGGATACCTAAGTTGGCAGGATCTAGAAATTGTATTAAATGAATTCAGTTCTGGTGTATTTTTGATTTAAAATGCTCATATTATTATTTCTATTGTAACACTTCAATATGCAACCCTAAAGTCAAGACTCTGCCTTCCCATCAAGAATGAACTCTTACTTTGCTGGCTTGCTGCTGTTGCCTGAAACCCCATCTGCTTGACCAGCTTTGCCTTTCTGTGGAACTTTAAAAGTCAGTTCTCTTTGATCAGCGTTTGTCTTGATACCATCCTCATCTATCCATTCCAGTTCATCCCACTCATCTTCTGCATTGTCTTCAGTTGCCATTTCCTTTGAAGGTGAATTTTGTCGCTCACGTCGTGGAGCACTTAAAGCTGTCCCAGAGTATTCTCCTGGTGGAAGAATCTGTGCCATGTAAAGTTTTTTATGATCTCCTTTCATCCATGTTTGCAATGTGGAATCATACATCTGGTGAGCCATCCTGCCAGCTTCAGAATGATGCGATTTCTGTAAGGCAGCTCTCTGCTGCCACTGAAACAAGAATATTTGTCTTTCGCAAGACTTGTGTCCCCAAAGTCCAGCTAAAACAAGAGGGTTTTTACCCTCGTTGTCTGGTGAATCAATCTTAGCACCATTGCTGAGTAATACCTCCACTGCATTGTTCTTTCCTTGTGCAGCAGCAATGTGCAGAGCTGTCCTTCCAAGAGGAGTCTTAGCATGGACATCAGCACCTTGAAATAATAAAAAGAAATTCAGGTATGTTGGTATATTTTTATATAATTTGAGGAGTTGGTACAGCAGTCAGAGTTGCAACAAGACATTTATGTTTTCAATCACATTTTGTCTATTTTTGTTTGTGGAATTTGGACATGCTATTCTATATTTACATTTATCATTAAGCATAAGCATACACTAGCTACATAGTAGTGTCTTGAGATGATAATGGCTATGTTCTCACACGACTACTAACGGTTAGCAGAATCCGGATCCTGCTAACCGTTAGCTGCCGTGCGTCCATCCGAGAAAATCCCGATCCAGATACCAAAAATATGATGATCAAATCACTGGCCAATAAGAAACTGGAAATTGTAAACGCGTGCGTTCTCACGCAGGTGCTAACGGTTAGCGCTAATGGTTAGCTCCCGATCCGGATACTAGGACTCTCGTGAGAACCAGGCAAATAATGTCTGTGTACAGTAGAATGTACATGTTGCACACTGAAGAATAATGTCCAGGGGATGTTGCATGCTGTATATGTTTGCCAAAATAAATCCAAGGACAAGGATAATAGTTTGATACATATTAATGATTGTGCCATATAAATACAGAAGGCCTACTGAACATTATGCACCTACCACCATCAATGAGTTTCTGCACCAGGCTGACATGGCCTCTATGGGCTGCTATACACAAAGCGACAAACGCTCGTTCAGCTATCCAAACTTGCTTTGCCTTCTCATTCATACGAATCGAACTTGGTGTTTTGAACTCTATTTCCGAAGTAACGCCTAATTTCATCACCTGCCATTTAAAAAAAATTAAATGTCAAATTTTGTTTGTTATATAGTTTGGTATCATAATTCATAGACAATTAAATATGGTAAAACTCTGTCCACACTATCACACTTGTATGCCCATATATAGTCATGATGTGCCTATATATGGTCATAATGTGCCTATATATGGTCATGATGTGATGTCATCATGACCATATTTAGGCATGCAACATGTTTTTGTCAAATAAAATTTGATAGTCTAGACAGGGCTTAACACCTGTAACTACACACCTGGTCTATATTTCCCTCAGCAGCTGCTTTGATCAATACTTTCCAGGTGTTCCAAACATCTAAGTAAATAGTACCACCTGCTACGATGTCATGGTGTCTCACATTGCTATCATCCATCAGGTCCGCTGAGGAAAATCATTAACATGAAATGAACAATATTTGGTGAATGACAACAACACAAATGTCTGGCATAATAAAACTGGCGTTTACCGAGTCACATGGTTTAGCCAGTGCCCACCTTGCAGTGCAGCATTGGATTTATTCGGTGTAAACACCAAGGATAGCCTACGAAAGTCTAGAAGAAGACTTATTTCCAGTGGGGTCCTTCTGGTGGTGATTGGGCAGTACACCGGGAGACAATCCCTTACTCTTTTCCGAAGAGTGTACTGCGTTCTTTAATGTGCACATGGGCCATAATGCACACAGGACCAACGGCTTAAACGTCTCATCTGAAAGACGGTGCGCTAGTAACTTGTATTTCAGCCCTCTAGCTGAAACACAAGGAGAGGCAGCGATGGGAATTGAACCGGGGACCTAGAGATCTCCACGGTTCAGCGCATACACAGCGGTACCACCAGATTAGCCGACTGAGCTAAGCTGCTCTCTCGCAAATTGCCAAGTATCAGCTTAATGGTCTATCATACAGATGCTAATGTCTATATTATGTTTTTTACCAGAGTAACAAATGAATTGTATAATTTCAACCTCTTTAAATGAGACTTGGCTTATAATTTATAGATCATTAAAAGTTGTGGTACTTGACATTCAATTATGAAAACACAGATCACCAACTTTTCTTGGTTGTGTAACATCAAGACTGCTTTGACTTACATAATCAGACTGAATGAATCAAAACTTCTTGATGATACAGATTGCCCTCCAATTCAAGAGCAATTAGGGGCCTGAAAATTTGGGGTGGTCTTGGAGTATCGGTCTCCACTTGGGTTAGCTTTGGGGTTACAAGATTGATTATTATTATTTGGTTCTTTGAAAAGGTGGTTTTAAATTAGAATGGTCTCAGAATCAAAGGGGTCTCAAATTGGAGGGGACACTGTAAATGTTGTATACCTACCATCATCTAAGTAAGATGGTCTTTGAAGATAGCTTGGTACACCAGAGACAAACTCCATCACTGCTTTTAAGTCCTTAATCTTCATATCATTGAATATGTCTGTTAAAGGATAAATTTCACCAGTGAAGAACTTTAGCTGGAGGTCAAAGTACTTTCCTTTGGGTGAGGTTGCCAGGTTCTTTGTCTGTTTCCTATTTGCCATTGTGTAATCCTCTAATCTATGATAACACATGGAAAAGTTTTAAACACAAACCTTTTCAATATGCAAATACACACAATAAGTAACAATTATAATCTGTAATCCTGTGTTGTGTGTACAGTAGTACAGTATATGCCTGAATCATAAATTAAATTAAAATTTAAATTTAAAAGTCTCTAGAATAAAATGAAGTTTTACATATATCATCTGACGTATTGCTTTTAAAAGTTCTTAATTGTTGATGAATTTGGTACTCAAATAATTTAATTCAATGCAAAATGTATTCACTCCTTTAAAAAAATATATCAGAAATATATAAATGGTGCAACACTTTACTCCACCCTACCTAATAAGCCTAACCTTAATCATATAACTCCAGACAATGTTACTGTTAAGGTTAGGATAGAGTACTAAAGTGCATTGACGCCTTAAAGGCTACTAGGCCTAGGCTACAATACTATCAACTAAGCCTAGGCCCCTAGGGCCTATTAGCCTAGGCCTCCTAGGGCCTAGGCCTCTTAAATTTAAGAAGGGCCAAGTCAAAACAAACTGGATCACCAACAAACTCGGGTGGTGCAGCCTAGCCTCCTTACTCCTTTTTAGACCTGGGTAAGTTTACCATATCAATTTCTAGCCTATAGTATAGGCCTAGGCTACTTACCTAGGCTTGGAGACATATCATGTATGCATTAATACAAATGCCATAGCATAAAGGCCTAGGCCTAGTTCTGCATTACTTGCAATCATTCGAATCTCAATAGATTAGTAAAAAACAAACACTGACTGCGAGGAAAAAATGTTGTTGTAGCAACAAAATTGCAGACGCCCTCTATTGTTTTAGACTTGAACAACAGAGGGCGTCAAGTTTGCAACTCGGTCGATGGGAGACCACCCGTCGTTTGTGGGTCGTCAGAAGAGTACGAATGTTATGCTAAAATTCAGGGAAAGCAATACTGAAATATGTTGTCTTCACTAAGTAGAGCTGTAGTAAGGGCTTCAAAGCCTATGGTATGTTTCGTAACGCATTAGGTCTTTTAATTAAGGTAATGAGGAGGTTAGGTCCGGCCTCTAGACTAGAGACCTATATCATGCTAGGCCTAAAGGGGCTAGCCAGACTAGGCATATGACATATGATATGTGGCTATGCCACAGTCCAGCTAGGCTAGGCTAGCCGCTAGGGTCTAGGATCAAATCAGCCGCCGTAGTTTAGGTAATTTAATGTCATTTAAATACACCTCATGGTATAAATTCATGTTAAAATGGCCTTATTGTTTTATAGTACAAATTCACAAAATTTACAGACAGCATTCATTTTGAAAATAAGCCCCCTCTTTACTTTGCAAAAGTAGCCTCGAAAAGAAGCCCATCAAAAGCCAACTTCCAGGTTTTACGGTATATTCATAGACATAGCATTACACAGTAATAGCGTCTATACAATGTACGAAAAATATACATTAGTGGTACTGTGGGTTTATTACTACACATAACATTTTTGTAGTACACATTTTTTAAGTTCAAAAATAACGACTAACGATGATAATCATTTTGTTCAACTATATTTATTTTATATAATCATATTTTTAATTTTAACATACATTACATTCTTTAATTCATTCATTTTAAATGTAACAGAATCTGTCATGATCCCATCTGTAAATTAAATCAATGAAATATTACACATGAATTATAACATTGCTGTCTATTGTGTTAATATGCGATATTAGCGTAGAGGGCGGCATTGATGAAACTGTCATTCCATAATTTTTAGTCAGCGGCCGATATGATACAACACTTCCGCTAGACATCCCTCCCTGCCTCGGAGACCTCCTCAGTCAAGGACTGCAGGCCTTACTCCCTGCATTTCTATGTGGAATGGGGAGGCCTTCCTACCATGGACCAATTCATTACATACACTGCTGGCTATGGCCTAGTATAGATGCTGAACTAACTACAGGTAGTAGTAGGCCTAGTAGCATGAACCAAAACCTGTGACAGAACAGACAAATGATTCAGACTTAACAGAATCGGAAATTACATTTTCGGTAATGTGTAATTAATAATAATATATATAATTATATTTTTAGGACTAGGCCTGGGCTTCTTAGTTTAGTTTTTGTTTTCAATACACATGAAGATAGTTGGTACCAGCTTGCTCAATTCCACTACGTCATAAATCATTCATTTATGTTTACAGAAACCATAGAGAAAGAAAATTGTCTTTTTCTTAAAAATTGAATGAAGTTTGAGAACTAAATTAAATATTGATTGTACTCAATTTTAATAGGCCAAAGTGTTTTCAAGTACCTTTCCTCATTTTAGCAACAGCATGTCAAGTTTATGCACAGAACTGCTCCAATAGCATCAGATCATTTGTTTGTGGTAAGTTATTCACTTAGATCATTTCTAGTGTAAAAATAAAATTTCGAAAAATATTATGGTAGGCCTTTTAAAAAATTAACAATTGTAATTGGGACAGATACATTCTTCTTGTTTGTCTAGTTGATGAAAATCGACTTGTCTAGCGCCTTACACAATTACAAATCGTCTCAAAGCGCTTGATGAATATGAAAAAAAACCCGAAAAATAACCCATAAAATATACTAAAACTAATCAGAAACAATGTACATATATATTTAAATAATTAATAAGTAATAACAATCTTCCTGTATGTAGATTTATAATAATTAATCAATGTATATAGATTGAATTGATAGGTCTAAAGTTTGGAGTTTTTAATGTGTGGTGTTTGATGTTTTATTTAACATATATTTTCATTTGTTCATTTTGTAAACTCAAAAGTATTTCAACCTTTGTTGCATTTTGAGTATTTTATACCAAGTAAATAAATAAATAAAATCAAACTAAGAACGAACCAGTATCCCTGCACCATTCCCCAGCAATTTGAGACACATGGCCAGCTGGAACAGTACTCACAGGTGCTCTAGTGATGCTGGTGACTAAACTAACCTATTCTGAAGGAAGAAACAGAACGTGGAAAACAAAAAGTAGATGAACAATCCAAGATAGATGCTTGTCATTTTATATTTTTGTGAAAATTAAAGTTTGGTCTACTTTTCCTATGTACTATCAGTATCAGTATCAGTCACACCTTCTTTCAACAAATGAAAAATTGTGAATGGAACAAAAATGAATGGAGAGGTTTTCCATTTATTTTTTAAGGAGACTAAATTACATTAATAATATGCCAATGTTTGAAAAAATGGAATACTGTACTTTGCTTCATGGTGTAAATAAATACAAAATGTCATGTACTATTAATTCCACCAATCAACTAACAAGTATCTATTTCAGTGTGTTATAATCCATTGAATTAATTCTATGTGACCAAGTGTAGTATTATCAAACAAATAAATGGCAATTTAATCTAAGCACCAGGTTTTTAAATGTATCCTACAGTTTATGTAATATTACAAATTTATGTTGCCTTGTTTATATTAGAGGCATATTTTTTTTAACTATATTTTTATTTTATCTTTTTAGCACCGGGATACACCAGAAAATAATTCAGATACCAAATTTGAATTCTCTAGTGAAAATTTAAAGGTTTGTGTTTATAAGATTTAAAAGGAGATGTTTATTTCAAAATATTAGTTAGCATGCAATATTCTAATTCCTTTTAAATAAGTTACATAGGCCTGTAGGGTCATTTACATACTTTACATGTAATTGGCAAGTAAAATATTTTCTTAGTAAAATTAGTTATTGTCCTCGTACATTAAAATGTCCAAGCCTAGAGACTTTTTTTGTGTTACAATTCACTGTTGATTTTTATTCCTTTAATGTATATGTGGCAAAGACAAGCCAAACCAGTCACTTGTCGCAAATCCTGTTCAGAGATAATGGCCAAAACATGCTGGAATGTCAAAATTTTTGAAATCTATTTTATTGCACTAAACTAACATTTATATATCTATACATCATGCTATGCTGTTATTTTCCCAATTTTTAATGTTAAAACAACAATTTTTAAAGATTTGGTGATAATCTTTGCCTGAGAAATGCCTGAAATCATAAACTTTGAAGGCTGATTTCTCAAATACTGTACTATAAACAACTATGTTAAATGCTTGTAACTTCATAAGGAAATGTCGGATTTAAAAGATTTGTTTACAATTTTGTAGCTATTATTTTACTCTTTAACACTGTATTAATAACTAAAAATCGATTTTTGCGACCAGTGACTGGTTTGGCTTGTCTTTGCCACATATATTAATTTAACTCTTTAAAGTTTATAAGTAAACAATTAATAGCCAGTAGGTAATTGTTCTAATAAGTTAAAGATAATTATAATTTTAAATAATAATAATAATGTCGTGATATAAGGCAGCAGCACGGCTCACCTGCACTTTATTATTTTTGTCAACAACAGCGTCTTAATGACATCATGGCCAACTACCCAGAGGGTCACAAAGCAGCGGCTGTCATCCCAGCTTTAGACTTAGCCCAGAGGCAGCATGGTTGGTTACCCATCTCAGCTATGCATAAGGTTGCCGAGATACTCAATATGCCCAAGATGAGAGTATATGAAGTAGCTACATTCTACACAATGTTTAACAGGTAAATTTAAATTTATTTAAATCAATTGTGGATTAAATACCAATTGTGTCATAGACTAAATAAGCAATTACATTCATATTTTATGAGTATTTACTTAATATTACCAAAACATCAAATCTAATTAAAGGAAAGCCCCAATTGCTCTAAAAAATTATTATAAAGTGAATGCAAATCATGAACATTAGTTTGTAATTAAAGATATGCCATACCATCTATGGTAAAAATGAATAAAATTTAAATAATTCAATTACAAATTTAAATTACACATTTTAAATGGTTTTCACTTATTTATTATTATTATTATTATTACAGAGGTTTTAATTAATCTTAAATGTTATTCACAGCGTCATTGTGCTAAGTTGCGTATAGGCGTGGTTCTTGACTACCTAGCTGTAAAGAGGTGCTTGTGTTCACATCATTCCACAGCAATGGGCTATAATGTACCATAGCATCCAAGTAACCCCCTACGCTTCCAAAAGATGCAATGGGTTTTTTAGGGTGCACAATAAATGTGTACACTGGACCTCCATTTTAAGTCCTTATCCGAGAAGACTTGGTTCTACCAATCGAACCAGCGCTGAGGTTAAAGCTCTACTTAGTGGCGCCCTTGCCTAACCGCTTGGCCGCTTGACTCGCAAACAACACTAAACAATTATAGTTGTTAATTTATTAATATGTTTAAAATTTACTTAATATGTGTAGGACCGATAAAATAAGTTTATTATCAATATTTCTTTATTGAAGCTTTATGTAGTAAAAACCTGGCATTGTACATGATATGATGCAGGACCCTGGATTGGAAGGTAGAAATCTTGACTACCAACCTGCTACAACTACTATAATTTTAACCAATCTGTCTATTAATAATTTTTGTTCCTTAGAGAACCTATCGGCAAGTTCCACGTCCAGGTTTGCACCACGACACCGTGTATGCTGTGCAACGCTAGAGAAATTTTAAAAGCAATTGAAGACAATTTGAGTAAGTAACAGCAAAAGCCTTTTTATCAATTTTAAAGTAAATAAACATATAGTTTAAATATAATTGTCTTGGTATCAAATGGGTATTTCTGCCTACTGCTGATAAATGTCTTGATCAACAGAGTAGTGATGCAAATGAACCAGGAACCAAATCTTTAAAAAAATTCAACTGGCTACCACCAGTTTAGCCAACTGAGGTATGCTGCTCAATCAAATATTATGTTGCCTCCGCCAAGGGGGATGTTCTCTGGTCAAAGGACAAGGTCAGGGTCACGGAAATTTGATTTTTTTACTCTTGAGCATTAAAAAAAAAGGAATCGCCCCACATATTTAGACAGCACTTGAGAAAACAATGTGCTTGAATATGATAGACGATTCCATTATTCTCTTGAGGGTATTCTGCAGCACTCAAAGAAAATAATGTGCCTGAATACGATATGCGATTCAATTATTTCATTAAGGGTATGCTGCAGTTTTGCCCCATATACACTGCTTGCGTCTTGTTGGTACTGTATTTAGGCACAGGGTAGAGGTATGCGCTCTATGGAGTGACTGCTCTAGTTTTGATATTGTGATTGTTGTAGCTAATACTCAAGTGGGGCTGTAGCTTGGTAGTTAAAGATGTTCGCCTTCCATTCTCTGGAGTTTGGTTTCAAATTCTGCGATTTCTTCTCAACAGTAAAACAACTCCACTTCCTAAGCCTTATAAAATACTCATTTTATAAAGCATCATTTCCATCTTGTGAATGGCTGGACTCTCACTCTTGGGTGAGAATAATATTCAGAAATTTTATAAAAATGATCAATATTATCATCGTTATATTTCTTTTCAGAAATTAAGTGTGGTGAAACTACTAAGGACAAGATGTTTACTTTGACGGAAGTTGAGTGTCTGGGTGCGTGTGTAAATGCCCCTATGGTGCAGATAAACGACAACTATTATGAGGACCTGAAAGTTAGTGATATTAATGAAATCTTAGATGATTTGAAGGCAGGAAAATCCCCTAAGCCAGGCCCAAGGTACAGTATACTACACTATGTAAGATTATAATTGTCACATAGTAGTAAAAAACACGTGTTTCATATGTTAGAATAAATACATTTTGAGCTTGTGTTCATGCAATTTATCACCAGTGAAGACCTGGGCATCATCATCATTATGGGCATGAACATCGTCTCATCATCATCATTATATCCATTATCATCATTATCATCGATATCACTACCATTTTCATAATATTCATCATTATTACCATCATTGTCATCGTCACCACCACCATTGTCGTCATTATTATTATTGTTAATAGCATTGTTATTTTAAACATCATGAACACCACCTTAGCATTACTATTATCATTATCGTCTTCATAATAATGTTTATGATCAACACATATTCAGTATTATTCATCATCATCATTATAATCACTACAAACAAAAGTATATTTATCTCAATCATGTAATGAAATTAAGTACAGTATATATAGATGCCATATCTGGTCAATTCATATCCTTTGAAATCAAGATTAAATTTTTTCCCCCTAATACTTCAGGAGTGGTCGCTTTGCCTGTGAACCAATCAATGGACTAACATCCTTAACAGAACCACCTAAAGGACCGGGATTTGGTGTTCGTGAAGACCTATGACCTACACATTGATAGATTTAACTTAAATATTGATAAAACCTCTGTTATATAATTTAATAACTACTGTAACCAGTAGCTTTTACAGTTTGTTGAAGTGTTGCTACTAATATGTATATACATATATATATATACATACATATATATATATATATATATATATATATACTGTCTCTTATACATATATATGTGT